CACACACACACACACACACAGCCCTACACACACACACACACACACACACAGCCCCAACACACACACAGCCCTAACACACACACACACACACAGCCCTAACACACACACACACACACAGCCCTGACACACACACACACACACACACAGCCCTGACACACACACACACACACACAGCCCTGACACACACACACACACACACACACAGCCCTGACACACACACACACACACAGCCCTGACACACACACACACACACAGCCCCGACACACACACACACACACACACACAGCCCTAACACACACACACACACACAGCCCTGCACACACACACACACACACAGCCCTGACACACACACACACACACAGCCCTGACCAACACACACACACACACACACACACACAGCCCTGACACACACACACACACACACAGCCCTGACACACACACACACACACACAGCCCTGACACACACACACACACACACACAGCCTGACACACACACACACACACACAGCCCTGACACACACACACACACACACACACACACAGCCCGACACACACACACACACACAGCCCTGACACACACACACACACACAGCCCTGACACACACACACACACACACACAGCCCTACACACACACACACACACACACACACAGCCCGACACACACACACACACACACACACACACACACAGCCCTGACACACACACACACACACACAGCCTGACACACACACACACACACACACAGCCTAAGACACAACACACACACACACACACACACAGCCCTGACACACACACACACACAGCCCTGACACACACACACACACACAGCCCTGACACACACACACACACCCCACACACACACACACACAGCCCTGACACACACACACACACACACACACAGCCCTGACACACACACACACACAGCCCTAACACACACACACACACACAGCCCTACACACACACACACACACACACAGCCCTGGTTACTGTCACACACACACACACACACACAGCCCTGACACACACACACACACACACAGCCCACACACACACACACACAGCCCTGACACACACACATACACAGCCCTGACACACACACAGCCCCAACACACACACACACACACAGCCCCGACACACACACACACACACACAGCGCTGACACACACACACACACACACAGCCCTGACACACACACACACACAGCCCTAACACACACACACACACAGCCTCACTGACTCGCTGTAACATCCACTCACTCACTCACTCACTCACTCACTCACTCACTCACTCACTCACTCACTGTAACGTTCACTCCCTGACTCACTCACTCCCTGTAACATTCACTCACTCACCCCTTGTAACATCCACTCACTGACTCGCTGTAACATCCACTCACTCACTCACTCACTCACTGTAACGTTCACTCCCTGACTCACTCACTCCCTGTAACATTCACTCACTCACCCCTTGTAACATCCACTCACTGACTCGCTGTAACATCCACTCACTGACTCACTCACTCACTCACTCACTCACTCCCTGTAACATCCACTCACTCACTCACTCACTGTAACATCCACTCACTCACTCACTGTAACATCCACTCACTCACTCCCTGTAACATCCACTCCCTCACTCTCTGTAGCATCCACTCACTGACACCCCGTAACATCCACTTACTCACTTCCTGTAACATCCACTCACTCACTCCCTGTAACATCCACTCACTCACTCCTTGTAACATCCACTCCCTGACTCACTGTAACATCCACTCACTGACTCACACCCTGTAACATCCACTCACTGACTCGCTGTAACATCCACTCACTCACTCACTCACTCACTCACTCCCTGTAACATCCACTCACTCACCCCTTGTAACATCCACTCACTGACTCACTGTAACATCCACTCACTCACTCACTCACTCACTGTAACGTCCACTCCCTGACTCACTCACTCCCTGTAACATCCACTCACTCACCCCTTGTAACATCCACTCACTGACTCGCTGTAACATCCACTCACTCACTCACTCACTCACTCAATCACTCACTCACTGTAACGTCCACTCCCTGACTCACTCACTCCCTGTAACATCCACTCACTCACTCCTTGTAACATCCACTCCCTGACTCACTGTAACATCCACTCACTGACTCACACCCTGTAACATCCACTCACTGACTCGCTGTAACATCCACTCGCTGACTCACTCACTCACTCACTCACTCACTCACTCACTCACTCACTCACTCACTGTAACATCCACTCACTCACTCCCTGTAACATCCACTCCCTCACTCTCTGTAACATCCACTCACTCACTCACTCACTCACTCACTCACTCCCTGTAACATCCACTCCCTCACTCTCTGTAGCATCCACTCACTGACACCTCGTAACATCCACTTACTCACTCCCTGTAACATCCACTCACTCACTCCCTGTAACATCCACTCCCTCACTCTCTGTAGCATCCACTCACTGACACCCGGTAACATCCACTTACTCACTTCCTGTAACATCCACTCACTCACTCACTGTAACATCCACTCACTGTAACATCCACTCACTGACTCACTGTAACATCCACTCACTGTAACATCCACTCACTGACTCACTGTAACATCCACTCACTGACTCACTCCCTGTAACATCCACTCACTGAATCACTGTAACATCCACTCACTCACTCCCTGTTATATCCACTCGCTGACTCACTCCCTGCAAGATCCACTCACTCAATCCCTGTAACATCCACTCCCTGACTCACTGTAACATCCACTCACTCTCTGTAATATCCACTCACTCACTCCCTCTAACATCCACTCACTGACTCACTGTAACACCCACTCACTGATTCACACCCTCACTGTAACATCCACTCACTCACTGTTGCGTCCACTACGATGACTGACTGTAACGTCCATGCGTTGACCCCCCTTCAGCTACTAATAATAGCAGTTCAAATGTTTGTGATAATAACAAATAGTAACAGTGACAGCAAGTGAATCAGTAAAATTGCACAATGTAATAGTCACAACAGCACCCATAGTAGTTGCAACAGATAATTGTTATAACAGCATAAATAATAATTATATTGATAGTTCAAAATTGTGTAGTACAATAAATAACTATCATAGTGATTGATCGCGATAATATAAATAATAGCATTAGCAAGCCAAATAGTGATAAATCAAATTCAAAGAAAATATTTGAGTGGAAAAATTGCGGTCAAATCACATTGAAAAGCAAAGGGTTTATTATTGATTTTTATTAAGCTGAAGGATCACTTTACTATGTAAAATAATCCACCATTCCTGAAACATTATCCTTTTGTTAACCAAGGAATTGGCATCACTTTTGAGCCACAAGTGATTTCTGTGATATCTTTGATGCTGTGACTTCACTATAAGATTTGAAGTATCAAAACGCATTAATAGTAATCATTGCATTTGATATAGCACATTATCACATTGTTGAGATGTTTCAAAGCACTTCAAAGGATGTACTGTTAAGTGTTTGGACTTAAAATGTTATCAATTAACAAAAGTCACGTACATGGCTTAAATGAGGATTTTTTTAAAATGGATGACTTTGTAGTTAACTTATCTAACTTTCTTATCAAATGCTATGGTAAGCTACATATTCTGATTTTATAAATATTTGATATCCGTTTACTTCACTGTGCCAAATATTGATGAAAAGTATTTTGAGACTAAAAGGCTTGAAAGGATGTTCAACAGAGAGATTAAATCAGTAAATATCCTTAGACAATGTTAGACAAAATGATTTTGTGCTTTTTGGAAGGAAAAATGCCTTTGGGTCTGCAATTCATAGAAGGCCAGAGGGAAAGTGAGCTTGGTGGACCTGACTCCTATATAACTTACTTTTGTCTGTATTCATAATAATAATCTTGCATTCGATATAGCACCTTATCATCTCAAAAAGCTCAAAGCTCTTTCTGCATGTTTGTAGGCATACATGAAAGCTAATTTACACACAGCAATGCCCCCCAAACAGCATTGAAGTAAGTTTGCAAGTGTTGACCAGGACCCTGGGAAAATATTATTATTTTATGATTACTACTATTTATTGTCTTCCCTTCTCTTTTTGAATACTACCATGGGATCTTTAACATCCAAACGAACAGGCAGATGGGACCTCGGTTTAACATCTCATCCGAAGGACAACATGTTCAAGAACGCAATGCTTTTCAAGTAACAGCCTAGACTTAGTTGCCTAGGCAAGTTTTACAATCCGATGTGGGGTTGAGTCTATGACACAGGCAAAAGTGTTACAAAATGAGGCCGAGTGATGCCCTGTTTGGTTAGAGTGAACATTATGTGGAATGGAGGATTTTTTCTGGAAGTGGTTGGGGGAGATAGTTAATATTTGGTGAATTTAAATGATAAATTGAGCGCTACATCTAAAAAAATTCTGGGAGGCACCTCAACTGAGACTGGGGACACACTCTGGGCAAAGCAGAGATCCACAATAGTCCGTGCACTGTTGAAGTTGACCATCCTGTCTCGCTCATCAATGAGCCTTGGAGATATAGCTGTCTACCATCTGTCAAAAANGCCCTAACAGATAAGGCTTTCCTAGCTAGAGACATACTGCACTGCTGAGTTACCCTTTTTTTATAATTATCTATTAAAATTCCTGATGTCTATTTTTGTCCATAATTTGCCCTTCCCTACCTTGTACAGGAGCTCCCATTTCTGTTACTCTAAACCATAACTTTCTTCTTCAGGTATAGATTAGGCTTCTGTAGATTTTTGTCATTTTGTTTTGAATTCAACATTTTCAGCATTTGCAGTGTTTCATTTTATTAAAAACTGACATGCAGAATTTGAGTGCATATTACCCATGAGGACACATGTTATAATCGCAATTTGAAAGAGTGATGATCAGTGTCGATATGTTCTATATTCCATTCATTTGGAGCAAAGAAATGCAGTTAATTTGTTTGCTTCAATTATGTTTTCACCCCATGTCTGTCGGTGTTTACAATGCTACATGTCTCACAGTGGTTTCTATTACCAGGTCAGGATGGCTGATCAGTTGGCTCCCTTCCTGGTGTCCCACTTCTCTGTCTCTTCTCAAGGACGCTGAGACCAAAATGCTGCAGGGTAAGGAAAGATCATTGTCATTTCTGCCTCTTGAAATTCCTTTATTTGTTTGGTCAGTCCCTAGCCTTTACATAGGAAGATTCAGCGGGGCAGAATGATAGACCATACTTGGGTCATTCGCCTAGTTGACGAAAAGTATGAGTCTTCATGCATGCCTGATTACTGATACTGTATTTAGATTGTATTGGACGTCTTCAACCATTTCCTCTGAACATTTCGGGTTGCTCTCTTATCTCATTTGTAGTTTGGCTTTGTCCCAGTTCAATACTGTGAACTGTAGTGTTCTTCTTCCCATAGAACCATACAATAACAGTTACAAAAAATTGCATTTGTTATAGTGCCTTTCATAGTCAGGAGGAAGCCCCAAGGTGCTGGACACTCGAGGGTTTGCACCTGAGCAGGGAATTGGATTAGGGAATGATGGGGACAAAGGGTGAGGTGGTGGGGAAGTTGGCTGAAGGCCCGGTCACAGAGGAACGTCTTGAGACGGACCTTCAAGGAGGTGAGGGAAGAGGCAAGGCAAAGGGACTCCAGGATGGAGTTCCAGAGAGTGGGGGCAGACAGGCTGAAGACTCAACCTCCGATGGTGCAGAGGGCAGAGTGTGGATGTGAAGCCTTCGAGTGGAGGGAGCGAGAAAGTTGGTAGAGTTTTAGAGGTCACAGTAGTAGGGTGGGGCAAGACTGTGGAGGGATTTAAGTGAGGACGAGGATCTTGAACTCAATCCCCTGGGAGTGAGGGATCAATGGAGCCAGGCCTGGTTGTCTTTAGTCTCCCAAGAGTAGAAGGACGATTAGGCTGCGGCAATGATGGAGCAGTAGGTTTTCCAGTAGGTGTAGTCCAACCAAATCTAGCAGTAGACCGTTACGTTGGATTTGAGCCAAGTGCATTCAACGGCATGCATCTGTAACTTGAAGGAGTGGAGGTGACTGGTGTGCCAACCATAGAAAAAACATACCAATCAACAACACAGTAAGAGATATCCAACACATTGTATTAGTGTTGTTGTTTGTTCTTCTAGTGAAGTCATCTTTGTGTGCCAGCCTGGCTCAGTTGGTAACATTCCCTCCTCTTGAGTCAGAAATCTGTGGGTTTAAACCCCATGTCTGGATAGACTGGGCTGACATTCCAGTGCAATGCTGAGATGTGTGCTTGGGGACCCCAGCAATGTCTCACTAACAGCCAATGACGTGAAAGACCAATTTTATCTGGAAGATTTTTGCCCTTCTACTCTTTTCGAATAATAATCCTTACATTTGGTATAGCTCTTCACATTGGGAGGATGTCCCAAAGCGCTGCACAAGATGGAGTGACTATATATACCAGCGCCTTGGGACGTCCTCCCGACGTGAAAGGCGCTCTATAAATGGAATCTTGTTGTTGTTGTTGTTATTTTGTGGGTGAACACAGCTGCCAATTTGAGCACAGCAATCTTCCACAAACAGTCGTGAAGTGAATGACCAGTTTTATTTGGGGGATTGTTGGTCACGACCAAGACAAACATCCTTCTCTTTTTGAATAGGGCAATGTTATCTTTAACGTCCACTAGAACAGGCAGCCAGGGTCTTGCTTTAATATCTCAATCAAAGGACAGATGCATGAGATCAGTCTTCTGACTCAGAGACAAGAGTGCTACAAACTGAGACAGGATGACATCTGTACCTACATTAATGCCTCACAAAGAACATTAGTATCTCTTGGAAGAGGGACAATACCAAAAATCCTTGCATTTAATATTGCGCCTTATCACATCTTCGAGGCGTCTCAAAGCACTTCACAGAATATACTGTAAAGTGAATTGACTGTATATTTTGTGGGCGAAACATGGCAGCCAATTGCACACACATGATGAATGTATGTAGACTTCATGGAGTTTCCAATTTCCATGGATTTCCCAGATTTCCCTTTTACAGCCTTCAGTGTCTTCTATGAATTTGTTTTGGAAAGCTCTGAATCAATCTACTTAAACCCTAAAATAAATCCTGTCGCTGAGATAAAGATAATGATCCTGTTGTCGATTTTAGTGCAGTGTTCCAAGTGCTAAAGTTCCCTGTGGGAAGGAACTAAATGCCTCCAAAAAAATCCAAACCTTTGGAATGCCTGGAACAGGAGACCAGGACACTTTGCAAAAAGGTAGCTGCATATCAGATTCACTTTGCAAAGTGAATGAGGCATTAAATGGTTCAGGTCCACTCTCAACCCAAGCCCTTTAACGCTTTTGGATTACTCTTATTAGGTTTTGAATAATAATGAATCAAATTTAGTCTGTAAATTCAAGCTAGGATGCTCACTCTTTAAAGTATGGCATTTTCGAATATGTTGAATTTGAATAAAGTGTGGAGAAAAGGGAAAAGAATGGACTTTATTTTGTATTTTGCAGGTGTCCAAAGTAAATGCATCAAAGAATATGTTTCAATATCCAATGGCAACAGGATCTGGACGCTAATATTCAGTCATGAAGTTGATAACAAAACTCCACTTGTTCTGATTCACGGATTTGGAGGAGGAGTTGGACTTTGGATCTTGAACTTCGATACACTTGTCCAACAACGTACTGTGTATGCCTTTGACCTTGTGGGATTTGGTCAAAGCAGTAGGCCACAGTTCAGCAATGATTCAGAACTGGCTGAAAAACAGTTTGTGCAGTCTATTGAGGAATGGAGAGCAAAAATGGGAGTGGAAAAAATGATTTTATTAGGACATAATTTTGGTGGCTATTTGGCTGCATCATACACAATTAACTACCCACTAAGGTAAGTCATGAGCATTTGGTAATGAAGAATTGAAGGAGTTATAATCCTTGCATTTTGATATTGCGCCTTATCACAACATCATGACGTCTCAAGGGGCTTCACAGGATATACTGTAAAGTGCTGTGACTGAGTGTATTTTATGAGCGAATTTGGCAGCCAATATGTGAACAGCAGCCATGCAATTTTTATTTGGCATTGTTGACTAGGACACTGGGTTATTCTGTTTTCAAATAGTTCCATGGGATCTTTAACACCCACCTAGAAAGGCAGACAGGACCTCAGTTTTAACGTCTCATCCGAAGGACAGCACCTTCCAAACAGTGCAGAACCCCCCCAGCACTGCATTGGAGTGTCAGGTCAGACTATATGGGTTCCAAGTCCCAATGCGGGGCTTGAACTCACAACCTCCGACTCAGAGGTGAGTCTAGACTAACGTATTAAATCAGAAGGAAGCGACAAGTTTAATTTATAGAGAAAATAATATCTATAGGGAGCATATTTCAAAGTTCAGGGAACCTGAACGTTGAAGGCATTGAATAGACCAGTGTGCTTCCCTTTATTAGTGACGTACCTTCGTTAGAATTTGGGGAATTTGGCCACTATCGGTTTCAAATCAAAGGAACCTATATAAAAAATCCTCATTGTGGGCAGGAAAACAAAATGCAATGTACAGATTTAATCAAAATTTACCTCCCAACGGAGGTTATCAAAATGCTCCGAGACGCTGCCTTGCATGAAGGACACTATTTACATGCAAGTTGTTGTTATACTTTAATTATGGTACCACAGGGTGTCATCACTTTTGTCTCCCCTCCTCCACACCAAATCAGCTTCCTGAACTGAGCTCCATAGTTCTGTTGGTTTGTTTTCTGCATCCACGATTGCAAGGCTCTTGAGATATAAAAAATGACTTGATGAGGAATTTCTCAAGGAGCTTGCAAACAGGTAGGTTCACCTCTGCCATAACATGTTGCTTTAAGTCCATAAAAGTAGACATTATGTTGGCGGTAAAAAAATGGCCAAGGGTCTGATTTCCTCATTATCAGGTTGCTGCTGATGTCACTTGCAGCACAGACGGCTTTTTGTATATGGACAGCAACCAGGAAGCCAGCTGATCAGTCACGACCATTCTTGAGAGCATTTTTTTGCACTAGAAATGCTTAAACAGTTTCAGTATATGCAGGAATCCGGCCAGTCTGCACCAAAACTGTGGAGCCTCAGGTTTGCTAGTGCTCCACATGGTCTTGATAGGCCTTGTCATGGTGGCTAGTAATTGCACAGTCCAAGTAATCCCATCTCTTAATATTCAGCTGTTTGTAGACAGGTAAAAAGATACTTCAGGGTTGAAAACGTGCTCCTCAGACAACTGGAGCTATGGAGCCTCGTAATGTAAACTGCTCTATTCTATTTGTCACACTGATTTGCAAGACATTGGCTCAGGTCAAATCCTTTCTATCCCACATTCGTGCCATGACCCACCCTGCCTTCCCCCACCTCCGCAATGTCGCCCCGTTCCGACATCACACCGCAGGCCGCCGAAACCCTCGTATACACCTTCATTACATCGAGGCTCGACTATGCAAACTCACTGCTTGTCGGCCTCCCCAACTCCTCCCTCCACAGGCTGCAGATCATCCAGAACTCTGCAGCCCGTGTCCTCTCCCACACCAGGCTCCGCGATTCTATCACCCCCATCCTTGCCAACTCCATTGGCTTCCCATCACACAGAGGATACAGTTCAAGATCTTGGTCCTCACCTTCAAAGCCCTCCATGGTCTTGCTCCCCCCACCTCTCCAAACCCCCTACCATCCTGTTCACTCCCTCCACTCAGCGGGCTCTGGCCTGTTTCACGACCCCCGGCTTGTTCGCCCAACTATCGGAGGGCGGGCCTTCCACCACTTTGCATCCATCCTCTGGAACTCCATCATGCAGTCCCTCCGTCTCGCCCCCTCCCTCGTCACCTTCAAAACCCTCCTCTTCGACCGTGCTTTCGATCTCCCTGCTTCCCCCCCTGCCCTCCCCCCACTCCCACCCCGACCCTCAGCTCTGTTCCGTAACTCTGTCTGTGCAGCACCTTGAGACGTCCTCCCAACATGAAAGGCGTTATACAAATGTAATTTTGTTGTTGCTGTATTGGAGCTGAGCTCTCGCTGACACTGATATAGAGGGATTTCCTCTATATGAGGTTACAATGCAATGCTCTTTGTGGGATTGAGGTCCCAATAATGTTACTGTTTGCCTGAGGATCACTTTTATAGTCCCGTTATCCCATAGTAAAGAATATAGTAAGGAACATGTCTGTTGTTGCTGTAAGATTGAACAGAAGTTGTGAATTTCTAGAGCTAATTCTTTGAGCGTGTACTGGGTTTAAATTAATCTTTTGTCTGGCTGAATTATAAACAGGCCTCTGCATATCAGATTTGGGTACTTACTGGGATATCACAAGATATTTTGTGTTTTGTTGGAGAAACCAAAGATAAACAGCTTTTCAGCTATGTGAACAATGATTCTTTGTTAACCTTCAATGTCGAATCAGTAGCTCAGTGGTTCGAGCACTTGCCTCGCAAGCGAGAGACCTGGGTTCTATTCCCGGCAGGGCAAAATGTTGGGCAAGTTTCCTTACTCCACACGCCTCTGTTTACCTAGCAGTAAGTAGGAACTTGGTTGTTAGTCAATTGACGGATTGCTTTTCCGATGATAATAAACCCTCAAAAAAAAATTTGGTCACTCAATCCACAACTGTTTGTGGGATATTGCTGTGCGCATTTGGCTGCCATGTTTCGCCCACAAAATATACAGTCAGTTCACGACCTTGCCCCTCCCTATTTCTGCGACATGCTGACCCTATATCAACCTGTCCGCTCACTCCACTCAGCAGGCTTTGGACTGCTCTACGTACTCCACCCAGCCCACCCCACTATCGGCAGTCGGGCCTTCAGCCTTTCTGGCCCAACCTATGGAACTCCATCCCACATTTCCTTCTCACCACTCTCTTCCTTCAAGGCGTGTCTCAAAACCCTCCTCTTCGACCGAACCTTTGGCCATCCTCCTAACTTCCCTGCCTTCCACCCTCCCCGATCCTTACCCCCAGCTTGGATCCAAATCCCTGACTGTCCAGCACCTTGGGAAGTCCTCCAACAAGAAAGGCGCCATACAAATATAATTTTGTATTGTATTGTAATGGCTAAAAGCGAGCCACCGGTGGTGGATTGGAGAGTACGCGGGACAAGCAGGAGGCTGGAGCCAGTTGAGTGGAGGCAGTGGATCGTGGATTGGGAAGTAAGCAGGTCGGTGAGGTAGGGAGAGCCAGGTCTTAACGGGATTTGAAAACAAGTCTGAAGATCTTGAAATCGATCCATTCGGTGATAGGGAGCCAGTGGAGCCTGGTGTGATGGGGGTTTGGAGTTCACTTGCAGGTGAGTATGCGGGAACTAGAGAAGGCCATTTGGCTTATTATTGCCCTCAACCTGTGGAAAAAGAACTATACACAATATAGGATAGAGGGGAGTGAAGGTTACATTACCTAACTTTTGCTAATATGGTACAGTATTATACAGCACTTCTGAAAAAATCAAATCACTCACTACTGTTTGTTATATAAAATTCACAGAGCAATTTAAAAAGGAAAGTTTATATTTAGCTGCTTACTTGTGTTTTGTGCAGGGTTAAACATCTAATATTAGAGGAACCATGGGGGTTTCAGTGCATGAGGAACAGGAACGACCAGTGCCCATCTGGATGAAAGTCCTGGGAGCGATGCTGAGTCCATTCAACCCATTGGCAGGTCTTAGGTTGGCTGGACCTTTTGGTAAGGATAACGTCATACAGTACTATGGTTGGATACCCAGTGATACCAGTTTAATTCAGTCAGTGTCCTCCTACCTGCACTCAAATGCTGAGCTCCAGGATTATGTTTTTGACACTGAGAGTTCCTCAGTGTAACCATTATAACGCTCTTCAGCATCTTATAACTGAAAAATGTTCATTTAGGATGTGGAGTGCCATGACAGGTGCAGTAGTTGAGGGTGCAGAATCTATCTTAGCGTTTAAAAGGAAGCTAGATAGATATCTAAAAAGAGCAATTTGCAGGGAGGGGTATGGGAAAACAACAGGAAAATAGGGCTGAATAAAATAATAATCCTTAGATGTGGTATAGCACTTCTCACATCAGGAGGGCCCTTAAAGCACTTCACAGGATTTACTGTAAAGTGTAGTGACTGGTTATTTTGTGGGTGAACATAGCATCCAATTTGTGCGCAGCAATGTCCCACAAACAGCCATGAAGTGAGTGACCAATCTTATTTGGTGGATTAATGGCCAGGATACCAGGAGGAACTCCTTTCAATAGCACCATGGTATCTTTAACAACCATGTGGACAGACGGATGCAGTCTTGGTTTAACGTCTCATCTGAAAGACGGTATTTCAGCCTCAGCACTGGAGTGTAGCTTAGAATATATGCGTTTCACGTCTCAACATGGGGACTGGACCCATAACCTTCTGACTCAGAGGCGAGAGTGCTACCAACTGAACCAAGTTGACATGATGGCAGCCAATGGATTACTTAAGAACTAGTACAGATAGGGTGGGTTTAATGGTGTTATAAATTTCTATGGCTCCATGTCAACACTAGATGATTTCTATTAGGTGGTTATCAGAACTTTATGAGGGCTGTACTGCTACAAGTACTATAACTATAGGGTGACCAAAAACTCATGATAACTACCCTATTATTTAAAAATATATATTTTAAGACTTATGAGACATTGTAATGGTATCATGACTTTTTGGTCACCCTGTATATTTGAAAGGCCTAATTTGGGGGATCTGGGTAGAGCTATTGTGCCAGTAGTCTGGAGGGAATGATTCCTTTCTCAAATGGCTCGAGAGCTCCTGAGTGATGTGCAGAAATGGAGAAACTAATTTTTAAATCGACATTCTTTTAGGGATAAAATATGTCTTATGTTGCTCACAGGGCCAGTTCTAATTCAGCGCTTAAGACCTGACCTCAAGCAAAAGTTTTCCTCGGTGTGCGATGATGAAACCACAGTCACAGAATACATTTATCACTGCAATGCACAAACCCCCAGGTGAGCACCCAAATAATAATAATAATCCTTTACATTTGATACAGCACTTTTCACATGGGAGGACGTCTCAAAGCACTTCACAGGATATACTGTAAAATGGAGTGGATGTATTTTGTAGACATCTTGTTTTTGCACCCTCTTTGCTTTTGATAATTTCATTATGTCAATTTTGAGGTCAAATTATAACCGTGAGTAACAGTGCTGCTAACTGCTAACTAGCAGGAGGTATTCACATTCAATGTTTGTGTTTATTAAACTAACATTGAAATTAAGGTGAAGGTGTTTGAGGTGAGCCTTTTTACCATCACCATCTGTTCCTTGTAAACATAAGAAAAGATGCAATACAGATTCACTTGGATGTTATCAGGAATAAAGGCTTTCAGCGAGACTTGAAAAGTTAGGTTTTTTTACCATTAGATCTGAGAAGGTCAAGCAGAGAATTGACTTGAGTCTTCGAAATTATGAAGAATTATGTTAGGATAAATACAGGACAGCTCTAATGCACCTTGTTGTAATGTGAGTTTGCTTATAAACCAATGGGGCTCTGAACCCTCACATTTTGTAACCTAATAATTAAAATTACGTATTGCACCCATGCCCGGCTACCACACCCCACACCGGCCTAATCCCCTATCCTTACCCCTCTATTCCCTTTCCTCAAATTTCCCCTTTGATGTATTTTGCTTCAACAGCAGCTTCAGTTTCTGTGCTGTAATATTCTGTGATTCTATGGAAGAATGATCATCATGAGTTTGATTACTCATAGAATCATAGAAGTTTACAGCACAGAAAGAGGCCATTCAGTCCATTGAGTCAGTACCAGCTCTCAGAGCAAGGTGTTCATTCAAACCCACTTCCCTGCCCCATCAATATACCCCTTCAAGCCTCTGTCCTTCATATACCGAGGAGTCCTGTAGCTCAGAGCACTTGCCTTGCAAGCGAGACACCTGGGTTCAATTTCAGACAGGGCGAAACCTTGGGCAAGTTTCCTTACTCCACACGCCTAATAATAATCCCTCCAAAAACAAAACAATAATAAATTGGTCATTTTCAATCCACAACTGTTTGTGGGACACTGCTGTGCGCAATTGGCTGCCGTGTTTCGCCCACAAATATATGGTCAATTCACTTTACGGCATATTCTGTGAAGTGCTTTGAGACGTCGAGAAGATGTGAAAAGCGCTATATCAAATGCAAGCATTATTATTATTATTATACGTATCTACTTTGCTCTTAAAACCCACAATGATTCTACTTCTACCGTCTTTTTTGGCAGTGTTTCACATCCTAACAACTTTGAATGAAAAATTTTGTCAAAACTCTCCTTTCACTCTTCTTGTAACTATCTTGTAAATTTGGCCTGTAATTCATCTTATAACCTTGGCACCTAGAATGAAAATAATTTTCCCTATTTACTCTGTCAAAACCCATCATAATTTTGTTCACCTCTATATTGGGTTCCTCCCATCTTTCTCTACTCCAGTGAAAATCGACCTAACTTCTCCAATCTCTGCTATAGTTATTACTGTGATGACTAAAACCAATTGCTAAATAAATTTGTTATTTCTTGGTTGAGCTGGTGAATGGAGCTGTCTCCATGAGGTGCTCTAGTTTAGTTATAATTTACATTACCAGAAAACTCTATCAAGCTGCTTTCAATAGTCATTATGGCCATTAGAAGAGCAATACACTACACAGGGTGCACGGTTGAGTGCATTGAATGGGGAAAAGGGAAAGCAGAGAGAAGATGGGAAGCAACTGAAAGAGTACTATAAAAGACTGTTTTGTTTTCCATGTTTTAGTGGGGAAACGGCTTTCAGAAACATGACCATACCTTATGGTTGGGCTAAACAGCCAATGCTTCAGAGGATTAATCAGATACAAGAGGACATTCCTATCACAGTCATTTATGGAGCTCGTTCTTCCATAGATGGCAACTCTGGAAACCAAATTAAAGCACTGAGACCTAACTCCCCTGTCAACATCATAGTAAGTAGCCAATATTCAATTACCTTTAAGGCACAGCTATGCTGTGTGGCTTTGTAAAGAGCTGAAGAAGCTTTTGGTGCTTAGTCTAGTGTCTTTAAGAAAAACTGTAAATGTCTACTACACATTCCATTAAATATAGCTTTATGTCTATTGTTTCTTTGAGTCACAAGGCAGTTGAAAGGCTAGAAGAAACAAACAATTCACTTGATAGTTGAACAAGAATATTAAAGTGTGTGGGGAGTCAGCAAAAAAATGGGATTAGATTAGATGACTCATGTAGAAAAAACACTGGCACAGACCTAATTGGCCGAATAGACTGTTTCTGCATTGTAACATTCTCTGATTCTACAGTAGGAGCCTCTCCAGCTGTCCTTTTCACTGCAGTGCTATGTGATAGCTCACTTGCTTTGCCAGGTTGCCACTGAAGGAAGCGCCACAGTCAACCACAACACAAGGTGCTACACATCGCCTAACATGCTTTCAACCCATATCTCTGACGGCAACACAAAGACAAAACTTTGTTCTACTGCTTGCAGACACACCAGTACTTCACACAGTCGTGAAGTCCATTGTGTATTTCATAACCCACTGCTTTTCCTTTTCTGTGCATCCTTCTGGATGACCTAGAAAGATTTTTACATTCTACTGATTGGCTAAACACTTTCAGAAACTGAATGTGTTTCTAAAAAGGGAAATGTAGTCACTTTTCCAGTCTTTGTTCAACAAAATATGATATAATTGTGCCCACATTGTCATCCAGAAACCACTTCAGCGGCATTACCTACCACTGGGGAAAGCAACTGTGACATAAACAGCATCTGTACGCAGGGCAATGAGACTTAACATGGGTCGAAGCCAAAGTTTCACAGTTCTGAGTGTGTACAGGGGCTTGCATGGGGGAAACAAAACGCTGCTTACATTGCACGTATTTTTTCTGATAGCCTCGCAACAGTGACAACAGCTAGAGCAAGTTTTAGATGCCAAAGTTAGTCTATGAAACTCTTTCCCGGTTAGTGCAAAATCTTAATTCTGGGAAGCATTCAACATTGTGTTACTTTAGTTCAGTTGCTAGCAATCATGCCTCTGGGTCAGGAGTCTTCTGTGTTCACCTACAAATAAACTTTGTAAATTGCTTGGAGACATTTCAACAGGATTCAGCGCTATATGAAACATGAGGATTACTGACTTTATTAATTCTCGGATTGGGGGAAAAAACAAGATAAGGTAGAAATGAAAGAAAACATCAGGGATATGGGGAAAAGACAAGTAAATGGGACTGAAAGGATTGCTCTTTAAAGGAGCCAGCACAGACACTGGGCCAAGTGCCTTTTTTGTGCGGTAAATTTCCATGGTTCTACTTACAGAAGACAGGTTTGAGGAGATTGAAAGCTTTTGAACCAAATGTACTGGATTATTCATCAAACTGTATGTAAAATTAAACCATCAAATAATTCCAGTTTTTGTTATCAGTAGTAACAACTTTGTGTTTGATTTACTCTGCTTCACAGGTCATTCGCGGTGCTGGTCATTATGTGCATGCTGATCAACCTGAAGACTTCAATCAAAAAGTAGTGGACATCTGCAGTACTGTAGACTAACTGTGTTCTCACCTCAAAAAGTAATAAATGTAGCTAGACTACCTTCATTTAGCCCTAAGAAATCATTCTTCTGAAGGATTCTGTTTTAAACTAACAATTGAGAAGACTTATTAAGTCAATATCTATCATCTCTTGTTCAATATTTTAGAGCTTTATGCTATTTCTAGATTTTATTTTTGATTTACCACAAACGTTTTTGACTATTTTAATATGTGCAATATTAATATCTATATAATTATCAGCTGTTAATGGCTACATGTGTATATTCTTTGGATTTGTTTGTGGGTTCAGTCATCAGCAACAGTCATTTTTAATTGAAAATACTTATTCCGTTTTTAAGAATATTGCCACTAAATTGTTCACTAAGAGATTTTTCTGACGTCTTATTTATTTGCAATAGTCTTATCTTGCTGAAATTGATCTTTTCGAGCTTTGGCTCAGTAGCATCAGCAGCGATCTGAGAAGAAACTTAGGGTGTCTTTCGTTTTGTTTTGCAACTCACAATTTAGTGATATTTTAGCACAGCTAAATCATTCAAATCCCATTGTTTCTAAATCTGTCTTCACATACAAGACAGGTACTCGAGATATGTGAAACGGGATGGTTCAGCGTTTCTATCAAGGAGGCATTTTCTAAAAGAAAATAGTCTCCTTAGTTTATCTGAAGAGGGTTTTAATTCTGCTGCTTTCGTATTTTGCTCTGCAACTACTAGTTCTGTTTCTGGCTTAGTTTTTGAGCAGGGTTTCCTGTTAAAATAAGGTCACCTTTCCTTGGCATTTCTTAACTCTACTATGCCAAAAACTTCTAACACGAAACAGAAAACTGCTTTCTGGTTAGATTATTGTTTTATACGATGGGGTTTATAACACGCCAAATACTAAAACTAGTGAAAATTGAAGTATTATTATTATAATAATAATTCTTGCATTTGATATGATGCCTTTCACATTGGAAGGACATCTCAAAGCGCTTCACAGGATTCACTGTAAAGTGTAGTGACTGTATTTTTGTAAGCAACACCCGGAAACCAATTTGTGCAATATTACAGCAATATCCTATAAACGGGGATAAAGATTGAATTTTTAAAAATGCTAGATTTGGTGAAAGAAAGAATAGAAAAAATATCAGCATCTCTTTGGATGTGTACATTTTTCCGCTTGTATCTTGCTTGGTTGTGCTGCTCCTTGTTTAAATCATCTAAATGTGTATTCTGTTTCCAATCATAGAAAAAGTCCCAGTAGGTTAGTTGAAAAGCATGCCAAAAACTTGTGCTGCACGAAATGTGCTTTATAGCTGTTTAACTTCTCTATGGGCTACTCTACACTATGTTAGATCGTAGCTCATCACACTGTATTTTAGTCTAATTCATTCTTTCCTAGGATTCCATAACGCAAAACTTGCTACCTCCCTAAGTCTTCCCTTCCATCTACAATCTACAAGCTTTTAAACTCAATCTTGGTGCCATCTACCCAACATTGCTTGTTTTATCTCACATTCTTCCCAACCCTTTAATCATGGTTGTATCTTGTATTATGTGCCAAGCTACCTAAATAAAAATAAAGTATTAGAAAAGCAAAGTTGAGATTCCAGAGAAGCATGGGGAGCAAAGGTTAAATGGGGATTACTGGAGTTATTTGACTATTGTTGTACATTTCTTAGTAAAATCCTTATTCTTATAGATTTGACAGGACATCTTTTCAATAAAATTGATATGCTTAAGTGTTATATTCTTTTACAGTAATAGCGATAAACATTTGTAATATGTTGAATTGTTAATTTCTGCAGAAAATAATGTATTTATATTTAATAGCTGAAGCTTTGCAGATGAAAGCCACTACATCCCATTGAAAGCCAGTGCAGAACTGATATAATTTCACTCAATACTAGCGTGTCTGTCAATACTAATATATGTAATCTTCACAATACAGTACTTTGGAGTCATTCCTTTGTTTCATACTTAGAATTGTTTGAGTGAATGCAGGTACGGTTCAAAAAGCTGGCACTTTATTGTTAAAATGTACATTTCTTTTTAAGTGATATGTACTCTAGATTTGTTAATATTGGCACAATATTGCACAAACCCATTAGATTGTGAAATCCAAGATTACTCTACAATCTATTTAAGGAATGACAAAGTCTACGCCCATAGATAACTAATGCAATAAGCAGGGCGAAAAACAAAATAGTAAGAAAATTGTTCCTGGGATGTTGGTAGAATCAATTTTGCACCTTTTAATACACTGAGTTTTTATATGACTATTGTGACATTGCTGCTAATAAACTTTGTGTGTGCTTCTATGTTGCCTTTCGTTATTGCAATCCCTGGAAATGGTTCTTACAGTGTGTCATTGAATTAGTTTCTGTAAGTGTGACCCTCATCGATGGCCTGATTACAAGGAATATTCTTGATGTGAACAGGACATTTAAATGATCTTGTGGTCTCAGCCCCAGTTGGGCTTATAGTTAGATACACACAACAACAACTTGTGCTTATGTAGCGCTTTCTGCGAACGATAGTGTGTCTCGGAGCGCTAAGGAAGAGGACACAAACTAGAGAAAGAAATTTTATAAGAGGTGTGGGGTTGTCCACAAAAGATGTTTGTATTTCTACTCTTGCCCCCCACAATAAAAAAAAGCACTTTAAAAATCAGGCCCATGATCCGTTATATTAATTTGGCAAATAGCATGACTGGAATTGAGAATACTTCTCAACTTACTGTACAATTTTTATACTTTACTGACTACCCCAGTACAATAAAATTAATTTAAATTCTGTATTTTTGCTTGTGAACTTTTCTTTTTTTAAAAATAAACCCCTCCCAAATAACTTCAGAAGAGATTTGCCGAAATAAATACCTGTGTTATTATAGTGATAATAATTGCATTTGATATAGCCTCTTATTAACTCATTGAAATGTTTCAAAATACTTAACAGCATTTTTATTGTAACATGTAGTGTATTTGTAGGTGAATGCATAGGTATTACAAAGAAGGTAACATAAAACCGATGGGTAGAACAGATGAATTTAAAAATCAAGTGAAGGAAATTAACAAAATGGTCAAGAGAGTTGATATAGTAAGTGAGATTAAGATTGCAGGGAACATAAAATACCGTTTGAAAAGCTGAATAGTGTGTAGCAAACCCTGATTGTTCTGATGCTTTTCTACTTAGAGAACCCTATACCATGGCTTTTTCTTCAATGTTGACTATTATATTAGAACAAAGGAATTTGCATTTTTATAATAATATGTCAAGATGTGTACAATGTACAATAATTGAATATGTTTTTGTAGGGAAAAACAGTAACGTACAAGAAAGTATCAGAAACATCTGTGAGGTGAATGACCAATTTAACCTGGAGGATCGCTGGCTAGGACTCTTAATAGAAACACTTTCTTTTCTCCAAGTAACATACAACGCAGATAAACAGTCATACTCCAGCCAAACAGTAACAACCTAAAGCTGATGATGGTAGAATGAATGGTGCGTTCTCCATTAGAGACTCCATTAGAGGGCACTGAGGGTACAGACTCGTGGCAGAAAACTCAGCAAAAGGAATAGTGCAATGCAGCAGAGGAATCTTCAACTTTCAAACAACCTCTGATTTGAGTCTCAATTGTACTCAATACTGTTACATTTTGAACGTTGAGATTTTAGAGATCTAGTACCCTGTTTGGTTCTCAGATGTTCTTACAGTAATACAGGAACCAGAAACTACTTAGTATTCTCAGTGGTGTTCGTCCAGAGAGAATATCACTTCCTGTAGCTTAAGCTCTTTCCCTTCAGCTATGCACAGTCACATTTTGTTGTGCTAGTCACCTATTTACTAGCAAGCTGCTATGATAAGATGTATATTCTGTGAAGCGCTTTGAGACGTCTCAAAGACGTGATAAGGCGCTATATCAAATGCAAGAATTATTATAAGAATGCTAAAGCTGGGATTTTTACATTAGCAACATGTTTATCACAATTTGCTTTCAAAATGTATGTTCTCCCTGATCAAAAAATAGTGTACAATAACTTCAATTGGGAATAATTCTCATAGTTGCAAATTAGCTGTTCCCACGACTTTTAAGGCTTTCAAGGCCTGTTCACAAACAAGTTTTCCATTAAGGATGGCTTCACTCTGGGTTGGAGTTCAGCTTGGATATGTCTCAGTCGGTAGGACTTGTACCTCCAAATCAAAAGTTTGTGGGTTCAAGCCCCATGTTGAGACTTTGAATTAAGAGTCAAAGGACTTACTCCAAAGTGAGTATTTGTAGACAAACACAGCAGCCAGTTTCCGCAGCAAAGTGTCACTAGCAACTGACCAATTTTATTTGGGGGATTGTTCACCAGGACATTGGGAGAAACGCCCTTCTCTTTTCAAATCTTGCTTTGGGATCTTTAAGGTCCATCTGAACTAGTAGGTTGTTACTCAGTTTAACATCTCATTCGAAGGAAGGGACCTCCACCAATGCAGCTGTCCCCAGCGCTGTACTGTACTGGTAACCTAGACTGAGCTCAAGGCCCCAATATGGAGCTTGAATCTATGACTTTCTCACTCAGAGGTGAAAGTGCTATTAATTGAGCCAGGCCGACACCTAAGTGACGGGTGTCAAAATTTTAACCTGAACGAGTGAGTGTCACGTCTAATGAATGAGACTTGGTCTGATTATTCTGTATGCAACATATAGGGATCGCACATTTATATATGGAACACTGACCGTTACTTAACACTGTAGGACAGACTCTAAGTAATCTTTGTCTGACATTTCAAGTAACGTAAGAACAATATGTCTCCCTGAGCTCCCGGCTCCTCAGCTGCCTCCAAAAATAACCTGATCTTGGCAGGAATTCAGTACACGCCCGAGCTGTTCAGAGTGTTTTACATGATGTACCTTTGCACATTCTGTTACAGCATATTAATAGAAAGTGAAGCAACCTGCGAAAAACCAGGAAATGCTAAGCACTAACTTTTAATCAGATCATGCACTTACTAATATCGCTTCAACTGTACCTTTCTGTATTATTCCTACTCTCTGTTACCACATCAATTACAGTTTCAGAGAGAAAAAAAATTGGATAAATCAACCCTGATGCAAACCTATTGCTGGAGGAAGGGAGGGAGCACTGCTTCTAATAGTGGAGCAATTTGGAGTGGGAAACACTCTTTAAATGTTTCTGTTCTCAATTGCTCTTGCTGGGGGCTGATGTGAGCTCTGTATCTTAATAACATTAAAAATGCATTCTTAAAGTTCTTGGGTGTTCCAAAGAAAGGTCCTTTTTTGTCAAGGACAAATACATTTACGTCATCAGCATTTATATAGTAGTGGAACAGCACAAGCCAAAGTCCTAACAGATAGGATCGTCCTATCTGGATAAGCAGCGGGAAGCTTGCCAGACAGTGTCTGCAATGGCAAGCTGGTGAAACATTAGTCGTATGCCAACCCACACACTGGGGGTCCCCAAGCCTTGGCTCTTGCCAACCTGCCCCTCAATGCTTTCAGGGATTAGATGAACAAAGTGTGTCCTTCCAGACAAATAGGAAATTTCTATACATATCTGGATCTCTCACTAGTTTGGTTTGGACACACTTGAGCATAGTGTTGGGTTTCTGTGTGTGACAAGATACATAACTGGCTCCCAAAAATGCAGAGTCTGGGCAAAAGCATCTCCATGCGACCTCAGCAGCCAGGATCCAAAATAATTGATGTAATGTAGCCATTAGAATGGTGGCAGGGCTTTAGAAAATCCTCTCTCTATGATTTTTTCAGCTCTGACTCCCACCTCACCCCCTCCACCCCACTATAATCACCGCAATAAAATGCTTCAAAAAAATTCCAAATTTAACATCTAAAAAGCTTAAAAAGATAAAGAAATCAATAAATGTTGAAAATCTGAAATAGAGACTAAAAGGTTAGTCAGTCAGCATCTTAAAGAGAAAGACGGGTCA